AAAAAATGAATGCCACTGTGCTCGCCTCCTGGACCTTTCAAATCTTCTCATGGGTATTGGCATAAATTCAACACCCATGTCCATCAATGCAGCTGCCTTTCAACAAACCTCTCCGAACTCTGTTTGAATGTCATGCGGACCATGGCAGTGACAGGCAGTCCACGGGCAGACTTCAACAAGTCGTTGAATGACTCCGAAACGTTTGTAGTGAGGGCTCCCCATCGTCTGCCGCCATCAGCATGCAATGTCCACATGTGAAGCTCATGTTGCATCAACCAAGTATAGGTTCGTGGATCTATCTGCCGGATCGCTTCCATGCGCCTCGTGAATTTGCACTGCTGGTGTTCAGTTGCAGCCATCCACATTAAGTCATGCAAGGCCTTGTCAGGAAATTTCTTCTGGAAATTGGCCTTCAGGTGCCTCACACAGTAACGGTGGTATGCATATGGTTCATGCCATTCAGGCAAGTGACGTACAGAACTTAAAATACCACCATGCCGATCAGATATTAGATAAATACCTTAACGCTGTTTGACAATGTGCTGCTTCAAGTGGTTCAAAAAATGTGTCCACGTCTCTTCACTTTCGTTGGCACAAATGGCAAAAGCTAGTGGAAATATTTGTCCGTTGGCATCTACTGCAACTGCAATCAAAAGCTTAATATCATACTTTCCATAGACATGAGTACCGTCTATGAAAATTACAGGACGACAATGCACAAAACCATCAATTGTTGGTTTAAATGACCAAAACACATAGTTGAAAATATATTCCTGTCTGTCCGGACTCCGCTCACGCCTCCATTCAACAACAGTCCCGGGGTTAAAGTGTTGCAGTGCGGCCATGTACCTGGGAAGATTTGAAAAAGACTTATCCCAGTCGCCATAAATAAGTTCAAAGGCACGCTTGCGATATGCCTTTCTTTTGGTTATAGTACAACCATACTCCTGGTGGACGGCTGTAATACACTCTTTAATCTTGAACCTAATGGACACTTCCAAAAATGGAATCAAGACAAGGGAAATCAAGTCCACATCCAAGTTGTAGTGATTCTCATTGAATGTGTCCATTTCACATCTGTGCTCGCTAATAAATTTACCCACTTTCCACAAACCTGATTTCTTCTTGGTGGCATGCAACATCCAGTGACAACCCATAAACCACCTACGGCATACAGCCTTGTATTTCTCCGTAGTTGACTCACTTACCATCATCTCACGACACTCTCTTATACTATAGATTTTTACAGCCCTAATTAGGCGAGCTTTATCGGGGAAATACATGCCCTTTGTCAGAACAGCTGGTCTAGACTCATCCCACATCGCTGACCGAATTTCGTCATCATCCCTTGTGAGGGCATCCACGTTCGGCATGCTTGGCAAATTATCAAGGTAGGGAATATTCCGCTCATGAAATGGCATGTGGGACTCGTACACTCTTGGTCTAGCGGGAGGTGGAGGAACATGCTCCCTCGTCAGCTCAGGTTCAACATTCACTTCCTCCTCCTCATCATCACCCTCATCATGGAAGGGTGTGTCATCCCCAGACTCATCCGCATTGTTGTCATAATCACTATCATCTTCCTGACTCTGCGCATCTGCCAAATCACGAGTAAATACGTCGTCTATGGGCAACTGTGTGAGGTCAGGAGCTTCAAGAAGCTCATTTTCACTGCACAAAAAGAACAAAAGATAAGTTACCCAGAACTCAGGAAAAATACTTTAGATATAGCTATATCACTTTACTTACAAATCGTATTGTCATGACGTTTCATGATGGATATTTTCATGTTGGTGATGATTCCCGGATGGACCACCGTGGTCCAATACTCCAGAACTATGCATATTCCAACTAGGGGCGGGGTCATAACTTGTAAAATTCATATCCGGACGGTAACCCCTATAAAAAATATAAGTGTTAATACAAATCCAATTATAACATAAAAAAAACATCGCTAAAGCGTTGTAAAATTGAAGTTTACCAGTCGTCTTGTTGATTATATAAAGTGGAAAAATTATTTTGTGGCTGCTCATTCGCCGGTGGTGACAAGTTTAAATCGAGGCAAGCTCTTCTATCAGCAATCTGTCCGGCAAAAACTGCTCCAGAATAACCACCCGATGACTGGGGGTTATCCCTGCTATGCACGCCCTCGTTACTGGGAACGTCTTCTACCTTGACGTACATTTCCAATAATTTTATTACAATAAATTCCCTGTATTCATCCGAAATCCGTAAAAAATCTCTAAGAGTTTCATCATCCTCGATGTTAAACTCAGAATAATAAGCAAACCCCTGTGGAGTCACTGAATACGGAAATCTACCGGTTACTTTAAGGTTAACCGAACGCCTTCGCTCACTCATTTTTTTACGTAACAACGATACCAATGTATCGTACTCCATAGTAAGCGGCAATTTAACATGACACTGTGGAGGTGAGCTATACCTCACAGAGTTATTCTCCACCACAACCTCACCCTCCCCCCCCCCCCCCGAATACAGTAAAAATCTTATTTTTGGCACTTTAGACATTGTAAAAAAATGATTGATAAGGAGAAGAGAGAATGATGAACGTATGTTTGAAGTTAAGTATTGAATGAATTTTCATAAAATTGAAACGCCTATAAATAAGGCAAGTCCGAGCTTGGGGTGTAGAATTTTTTAAAGGAATTCGCAGTATTATACTGCGTTTTATGTATTTGAATTATTGTTATATCAGTTAATTATTATTGGTGGGGCCAAAAATCAGTAAAAAAAGGCATTTCGCAGTATTATACTGCGAATTACCCTAATTCACAGTATAATACTGCGAAATGCCTTTTGAAAAAAGAGCTGGGCCCATTTTAAGCAATTCGCAGTATAGTATTGCAAATTGCATAAAAAAAATATTTTTTTAATAATTCGCAGTATTATACTGCGAATTACTTTAACGGCTAAATTTCCGTTAATATAATTCGCAGTATAATACTGCAAATTTATATTTGTGTAACTTTTTTTTTAGCATTAAAAATATACTTTTTGTCCAAAAAAGTATCATTTAAGTTTCAGATTCGAGCTATAATACTGATTGCTACAGAGATAATCTCACTTGCTGCAAATGTATAGTAACTAATATACTAACCAATGATTTTCATCACCCTGCTGGTGTAGAAGCCACCACAAGCTAATTGCCGCAGGTGATTCTGATGTTGTGACGTTTAAAAATTTCTTATACTTTTTCCCCCTAAAAAAAGTACTTTTTAAAATATTCGAATTGTTTGGCCAATACAGAGAAGTACTTTTGGCTAGGAGCAGAAGCAGTTTTTTTGTTTTTGGGAAGAAGCAGAAAATTCTAACTTCTTCCAGGAAGCAGAAGCAGGAGTAGAAAATTAATTTATTCAAGACATAACTATCCTTTACCATAAATTTATATTTTCCAAATTATCCCTTATTAATTAAGTTTTTTCTTTTCATTTTTGTTTCTAGTTTTTATCATTCTATTAAAATTAAAGATGTCATATATATGAATCATATTGTAACTTTTCACATTTTTTATTAAAATTTCTTGTTTTTGATTTTTTCTTTGTATAATGTCTTGTAACTTTCCAAATTATCTTCTTCTTCTTTTTTTTTTATACTAAAGCAAATTATCTGCATTCTTCTTTGGATTATCAATTCTCTTCCTACAAATAATCATTTATAATTTCTTCTATTATATGTCATTAGTTCCTGAATCTTTAAAACAGTTATCAAATCTAATTTGTGAAAATGACCTACAAATAGGTAATAAATTTACAATTACATTGCATAATCTATCAATATATTATCAAACGAAGAAGAAAATGCATCCACATTAAGTCAAGTGACAGCCTCACAATAGGCCACTTGGCATTTTGGGACAAAGTTAGTAAGGTTAGGTAATAATTAATTTTTTTTTAGTTTTTTTTAAATAAAATAAATTATACATTATGTGTTGTTAATAATAAGTTACTCTTTTTGAATTAGAATTTAAGCATACTTAACTATCTCTTTTACGATTTTTTTATATATTAAAAATTATTTCTATTTTACGCTTAATGCCATCTTTCAAGTTTGACACTCAAAATCATCTAGTTACAACTACCATGGCTGTACATAATTTCATCCAATGACATTCTTCTACCGATACAAAATTCAACTATTATGCTAATGAAGACATTACTGCAGAGATTGATGAAGAAAATGAGCCTTCTAATATTCCTTTAGAAATGCGCTGCAACTCTTCTACTAATATGGAGGCATTGTGTGATAGAAGTAAAGATGAAATTGTTGAGAAATACCATCATGTGCGAGTGACTTTACTTATTATTTTATGATGGATTATCAATATATAGTAATTCGTGGATAGACTTCTAATTCATACTGAACGATGTTATTTTAATTTTTCGAATCATCATATAACAATAAGTAATTATACTAGATAATATCATATGCTTTGGTATAACTATATGTGTAAAATTAATTTAAATCTTTAATATGTTTGTTTACTTTATGCTTTATATTTTAATAAAATAAAATAAAATAAAATAATAAAAGTCTCTTATGATAAATATTTAAGTTCATTTTTCTATTTAAAAGAACTATAAGACCTTGGTACTATCCTTTTTGGTAATTTGATACTCAAAAGTACTTTTTAGAACGATTGGCCAAATATAATTTATTTACCAAATGTTGCAAAAAATATTTCTTAAATGAATTGGCCAAACACAAACAATTTTTTTTTCAAAAATACTTTTAAAAAAAGTACTTCTGAAAAATAGTACTTTTCAAAATAAACAAATTTTGGCAGCTCGGCCGAACGGGCTCTTAAACTCTTCTAACAAATACCAAAAGCAGATCAGTTCAGCAGTCGGTCTTTGACTGACGATTCAATTTCCTCTGGCAACGAAATCTTTCTAAAATGTACACTCAATTGACTATCTCTATTCTATTTTGGTTCATGTCTATTCAATACACTATAAAATGTTAATTTAATTCGAAGACAATCAGAACTAACAGAGAAATTTTACAAAGTGGAAGAGTGAACAGCAGAAACCAAAACTAATTCACGTTCGTGCGGCATTAAGGCTGGGATATGCATTTCCTAACAAAAAAATTTCCAATCCCAATACTCGAACCCGAGACTTAAGGTTAGAATCTTTGCAATTGAAGAAACGGTTCCAAAACAAGTAGTCAAAACTTTGGGGATTGTTTTTGCTGAGATGGTAAAACTAACCTTGATTTCACTACACCACTTATTTCAAATGACACTATTATCTCTTGTTATCTACAACATAACAAACTATGAGATAATTCATCAAAAAAAGAAACCCTAAGATAACGCATAGCAGTATCAAGAACCTAACTAACTAAAGCAGAAACTAGACCTAGGAAAACAATCTTTTTAGACGAGTAGTCGTGATAACATAGAGCTAAAAAGGAATCTCATCAATCTATCAGAGTAAACTATGACAAAAAGCTTCATTTGGAAGTTAATCCTTAGCTTATTTGAATTACTCATCATTTAGTATGAATTCCTCATGCACAGAATAAACAAATTCAATTGCAGGAGAAGCTATCCAACTTCATCTCTACTTGAATAGTTGACTGTTTGTATGTGTCTATGGAGCCTCATGATAGCTCATAGCTTATATCTTCAATATCACCCTCCTCCTATACCAACTTGTCACCGGCCAATGGTGAAAAACAGCAAATAGTATTGTTTTCAGAAATTCATGTTGGGACTGCAACAGTCCTCTCAACCTTTCTTCACATTCTTTATTCTTGTACAAATTCCAGTTTGCCTAATATCATCTCCTCAAAGGAAAAACAAATCAGCACGGAATGCAAAATTTGCTATAAATTATAAAAAATGAGCTTACCCTCTTATAAATGCATCGTCTTTCCTGCAAAGTTCTATGATTTTAGCTTTTGGCTTGTATTCTGACAACACCAACTGCAGAGCTCCTTCATAAATTGATGGAATCATATTACATTATTTCAAAGTTGAGTAATCAAATTACAGCTTCGCGAAAAAGGCTAAGTCCAATAGAACATCTCAGCAAAAAAGCAACTGAAAAATAGACGTTCTTAAAAATGCTAGATTTCTAGACAAAAGGAAACATATTTAGGCACACCCATGCCAAAGAACTGCGCAGGATTGTGATTCTTTACCCAGTTTGGAAGCATAGAATATAAGGGCTAAAGTATCGGGGAGTACCTCTTTAACGTATGACGCCTACATTTCAACAGAGAAAAATATTATAGCACACCTATCTCGGAGCAAGAGCATTCCCATTCATTAGAGTTAAAAAAACAGTGGGAAAATGGGATCAAGTATAAAAGGAACATAGTTTTTGATTGTAGCAAAAGAACATATTTATCAACAAAGAAACTCAAAATTAGCCATTAGCATTCACATTCCTAGAATTCTAGTCAAAAGAAAACAATTTTATGCACACCCGTATCAAAGAAGCAGCATTATCAATCACAGATAGTTCAGAAACAGAGGAAAATGGGCTAAGGTATCAACGACTGCATCTTTAACAATGTATAGTTATTCCAGATAGGCAGAATAGATAGATAGCCCTCAAACTTGTCATGAATTGTCATTGAGACACTTCAACTCGATAGATGCAAAAAGAGATCCGAAGACGCCATGGCTGCATAAACCACCAGAAATCTGGGGGAATGCCCAGCCAAGATATGGTCCGAATGATCTCAAATTCTAACTCTATCGGAAACAGTCTCTATCTTCACAAGGTAGGAGTAAGGTCTGCGTACACACTAGCATCCCCAGAGGGTATGTTTCTGTTGTAATAGAAAGATATCTGATTCATATTCCACAGAAGAACAAAATCTTCATAGCCTCATCGCACATAAAATGAAACCGAGAGAGTAACAAGAAAAGGAAACTAGCAAGGTCATATGTATTTTCACCAAAACGGTGGTTTTGTAACTGGAAAAGTTTTTCATTTGAGTGATCATTGGCAGCGCAGAATGACAGAGGGGGGCAAAACCACCCAATGAAACTCCAAACAGCTCTCTGCTTTCACCGCAGCTTCAGACTTAAACTAATGAGATTTTCAAAAAAAAACTTACGCAACAAAATATAAATGGTGGCCTCAAAACATCCTATTTGTGCAAAATCACCCCTGCTTCGGTCCAACTGGATAGATCCGATTACAGTTTTGAGGCTCAGATCTCTGTTATAACTCAAGCAAAAGGAGATCCGACGACGCCATGGTTGCAAAGAACCACCAGATATCTGGGGGCATGCCCTGCCAAGATACGAGTCGAATCATCTGCCAATTAATAAGTTCAGAAGGGAATAGAAAAAAAGGACAACGCGGTGCACTAAGCTCCCGCGCATAACCCGGTGCACTAAGCTCCCGCTATGCTTGGGGTCCGGGGAAGGGACGGCCCACAAGGGTATATTGTACGCAGCCTTACCCTGCATCTTTGCAAGAGTCTGTTTCTACAGGTTCGCGGCTCGAACCTGACCATGGATAAAAGATCATCGTCTCCTCTTTCAAGCAATCAATCATACTCACCAACACTCGCTACAAATTAAATACTTTGAAAAAACTAGATATAGCTTATATAGCAAGGTGAAAACTGGCCATTCCATGAAATTTTTACAGGGTTGTTGGGATTGTTACAGTAATGGAGAAATCATGGGCTAATACAGAGAGAGGCAACCACCCTTTCAACAAAAAATCCTAAACTCCCTGAAGCCTCATTCTCGTTCTCCTGAGCTTTTGTTTTATTGCATCTCCATAACAGTTCTTTTTATACTATCCCGAAAGCAGTAAATATAAATTTATTCTATATATTTCTCTTTCTTTCTTTAGGAATTAGGAGTGAGTCATAAGTGAAAGATTTCGGGTAAGCTCAGATTAATGGTGTAAAACCAAGGGGAAGGGCAAAAACCAAAAACCAAACTGCAAGTAATCGGGTAGGCTCAGATTCGCCTTTCCTCAGAGCCAAAAGAGCTTTGGTAAAACCGCCATGGCTGCAAGCATCAGTTAGCCTTATAAGACACAGAAGAAGCACCAAAAAATGGAATATTTTCCAATATCTCACAGACCCATCTGAGCTGCCATGCCATGTTACAGTTTTTTTCCAGCTCAATAGAAATATGTCTTGGTTCACCTTTCACAGAAGAACAAAATCTTCATAGCCTTGTTGCATCACATAAAATGAAACAGGAGTAACAAGAAAGGAAAATAGAGAGGTTATTTGTATTTTCACCAAAAGGCTGGTTTTGGAATCGGAAACTTTTTTCATTTGAGTGATCATCGGCATCAGAGAATGACAGAGAGGGGCAAAACCACCAATTGAAACTCCCCACAGCCCTCTGATTTCACAGCAGCCTCAGACTTAAACTAACGAGATATTTGCTATTTTATAAATGAGGCTCACATCTCACTATGATCAGGTATTGAGTTTCTCAAAACCGCCATGGCTGCAATCTCCTCCAGATTGCCCTGCCAAGATACGAGTTTAATACCATCTCAATGCAAATCAATAATGCCATTTGCCAAGTATCATATCATCACTGCCTCAAAATTTTCACTTTTACCATTATTTTTAGTATGATCCCGCTGTTTGGGTGTTAACACAGCCACATAGTAGCGAGAACAAAAAAAAAGGTAGCAGCAACAGCAACAGCAACATCAGATCAACAACATGATGCATCTCTCGAAACTAGATTTACAGAAAGAACTACGCACCGGTACTTGCTTCCAGCAAGAAATCTTGGGCTTACCAGCAAAACTGAACGAATGCATAGATAAATAAATAAATCATATTTCTCATTGATGCTTCATTCTATGAGCTTACTTTCTCTATGTTTGGCCATTGAGGGCTCAGATTTACAATATTTGAACAAAGCAAAAGAGACAGCGGCGACGCCATGGCTGCAGACACCAGTTTGCTATACAAAGGACATACTGGGTCACCATGCCATGATACGGGTCAAGTATCTTCTCAATGCCATGACTGAACATAGCCCAGAAAGAAAAGCAACCTTCTTAGCCCCTTTACAACATCAGTAGCAGCACACAAAAAGAAGAGGAAGAGCAATATACTAGGGTGTGTTTGGATGAACTTTTTTTTTTTTTTTTTTTTTTTTTTTGAAAAGGTAACAGAAAGATGAACTATTTTCTTTTTTTCTATTTTCTTGTTTATTTGAAAGGGCTGTTGTTTTTTTGGTTATAAATGGAGAAATCATGGGCATAGCAGAGAGGGGCAACCACCCTTTACAGAAAATCCCAGTCCCTCTGATGCCTCATTCTTCTATATTTCTAGGCTATGCTCAACTGATACTGAAAAACGATGGTGATACAATAGGCTGCAAGATGATTTGCAAAAGTCGCCGGTTCGACATATCCCAACACTGAATCATGGAAAAGATTCTGTTTTTTTTTCTTTCAAGCAAATGGGTCTCAGATGTGTGTTTTGGTAAGACAAAAGAGAAGCCAGCCACGCCATGGCTGCAAACAACCGATTCCATGTGAAAGAGGAGCCTCAAAATCACAGCCCATTCTGGCGTTTGCCAAGCCAAGATACGGGTCGAATTGTCTCTATGCCCCAAGGGTTTATAGCCCAACTAAACAAGCACAATAACTGCCTCTTGGAAAATGTTGACTCTTTCATACATTTCATGAAGTATGGAAGTTTTGGACTAAGATCATACTAAGAATCCAGTAATGCCTAAAGCAAAGGCGCCGTTGAGGTCTTCTTTATCGCCGCATTATAATTTCTTCCCCGTTTTTTTAGTGTGTAGCTTTTCAAGGTAACAATAAATACAATGAGAACAACCATCCAAACAGGCTGCTAGTGTAACATAGACAGACAGATAAATGCATGTGCATCCGATTTGAACTTTATTCGAGTTCGAATTTCTACCACAACCCATTTGAGTTACTGGGTTTACAATATATTAGTTGTGGCAGAAGCTCACATGTTTGACATATCCCAACTACGAATCATGGAAAAGATTCTGTTTTTGTACTTTCGAGCAAATGGGGCTCAGATGTATGTTATGATAAGAAAAAAGAGAAGCCAACAACGCCATGGCTGCAAAACACCGGTTGCATGTGTGAGAGAAGATTCAAAACTCTCCACACAGGCCATACTGGGTAGCAACGCCAAGATACGGGTCGGCACATCTCAATACCGAAATCGGTTAGCCGAGATATAGAAACAGCATCATCACTGCCACTTTGTGTACCTTCCATCAACACTATAAACGAACACAGAGGAAAGACAGAGATGTCAATATGCAACAACAACAAACGAGTATAATCCCACGAGTGGGGTTTGGGGAGGACAGTGAGTAAGCAGCCTTAACCCTACCTTGTGCAGGTAAGGAGGCTGTTTCCAAACAGAGATGTTAGTATATATAACATAAATCATTTCCGCTGCTTCAGTTTTTGTCATAAAGACATGAACAAGGGTCTTTTTTTTTTTTTTTTTTTTTTTTAGTTTTTAAATAATGGAGGAAAATCAATGGTGAAACAGAGAGGGGCAACCACTCTTTCAAGAAAATCCCAAACTCTCTGTTTTTGCCTCATTTCTTTAGTTCTTCTGGGCTAACCTTTTCCCTTCTCATAATTGCATACTTGTGAGGTCTCAGAAAATAAGGGGTAGTTTCTTAGAGCTGATAAGCTGATTTTGGAAGCACGGCAAAACATGCTATTACAAAATAAGCTGATTTTAGAAGCACGGCCAAACAGGCTTTTACACGGGCCTTTTCGTGAGGGCTCAGATTTGCTGTATTTTTTGTCAAAGCAAATGAGAAGGCGACGCTGCCATAGCTGCAGACACCAGTTTGCTATACAAAAGCCGTACCGGGTCGCCCTGCCAAGATACGGGTCGGATATTTTTTCAATGCCATGAATTGGACATAGCCCAGAAAGGAGAAGCAATCATCACAGCCCTTTTATATACATCAGTATTCAGTAGCAGCAACACAGAGAGGAGGAAGAGCAATATATTAAGGGTCTGTTTGGATGATGATTTTTTTGGGGGGGTTTTGACACAGTTACCCACAAAAACAAAACTATTTACCCTTGTCTACCCATCTGTTTTCCTACCCATAAACTAATTACATTTCCTACCCATAGTAGGTTTTGTGGGGAATTTTTTCTTTATTCTCCAATTCTCTTTTATTTCTATGCTTCTTTTCTTTTCTTTTTTCTTTTCTCCTTTTTTTTTCTTGTTTTCTTCTTATTTTTTTATTTTTTCCTTCTAATTTCATTTAACTTCTTTTTTCTTATATTCTTTTTCTCTTCATAATCTAATTTCATTTACTGTTTTCACTATTCTTTTTTTTTATATTATCACTAAAGAAAAATCAGATTGTGTACCAATTAAATGTAGCTAATACAACCAAAAAAATATTAACTAACATATGATACCAGTATAGTATATAGCTATACCAACAGGGTATACAATTGTACGCAAAGAGTTAAAAAAAAATTTAATTCAATTATTAAACTGAAATAATATCAGTTGTCAATAAAAAATTTAAAAAATTCTAAAAGGATCTAATTGTAAGATTATACCGTTACATCATATAGCATACTATAATTTTTTTTTTTGCATTTTTCAATTTGCCCCTCACACTGGGTAAAAGCTTAAAACAAATTAAAAGGGAAAAGGGAAGTGAATTTAAGGGTAATAAGTATACTATTATAGTATATTGTATACTATTACAGCATATTGTTACAGTATCTTGCATATTATTACAGTATACCATAACAATATATTGTATACTATAATAGTATACTGTTGCAGTATAACTATATACTCCTATAGTATATTAGTATACTGTTAGGTAACTGTGTTCTTCTTCGATTATTACAATATACCGTTGCAGTATATTGTAAACTATAATAGCATACTGTTGCAGTATAACTGTATACTCCTACAGCATATTGTATACCGTAGCGGTATACTGTAGCTGTGTTCTTCTTCGATTTTCAACTGAAAATTTCGATCTCAATCACCTCAAATCAACTCCAAATGCTATCAAATTTCAGTATGAACTTCCAGAAGGTACTATAAGCAATATTTAACAACACCCACTTTGATCAAACAAGAAATCTTTAAAATAATTAGATCTAATTCTTTTTGAAGAAGGATAATAGGGAAATGGAAGAGTTTGTCCAAGTCTTTTCACGGAGGCGAACTTTATCCAAGTCATTGACATCTGGGTGTGTCAAAAGGAAGAGTTTGTGTGCAAGAACTAGCTCGGGTTGTTGTGTTCCTTCTTCCGCATCCATGGCTACCTTTCTTTGCTATTTCTTGGTTCTTTTTTTGTTTCACTGTACTTTCAGATGCCTCTGTGAAGAAGAAGAAAACGAGAAAAGGAAAAAACCGAGTACTTTCAGATGCCTCTGTGAAGAAGAAGAAAACGAGAAAAGGAAAAAACCGGGTACTTGCAGATGCTTCTGTGAAGAAGAAGAAAACGAGAAAAGGAAAAAACCGGGTAAATAGTTTGGCCCCTTGGGTAGGAGTAGTAAATAGTTTGGGCCTGGGCATTAAAGGGTAAATAGTTTAGGATTAATGGGTATAAAGTGAGATTTTCGCGTTTTTTTGCGGGGGGTGGGGTGGGGGTGGGAGTGGGGGGTTTAATTCAAAGGGCTGTTGATTTACAATGGAGAAATCGTAGGCATAACAGAGAGGGGCAACCACCCTTTTTACAGAAAATCCCAATCTCTCCTGTTGCCTCATTCTTCTCCTTTTCTCTGACAAAAGCCCAAAAAGCTTTGGATAAAGACGGTCATGGCTGCAAGCCTCAGTTAGTCTTAGGAAACAGGAAAACACACACACAAAAATGGATCTTTCTCCAATATCTCAAAGACCCATCTGAGCTGCCACGCCAAAATTACAATTTATCCCAGCTCAATAGATTTATAAGTCTGATTAAGAATAAAATCTTCATAGCCTCATTGCGTCAAAGGGAGGGAGTAATACGTATTTTCACCAAAAGCGGACATTTGAGTGATCATCGACGGCAGACAATCACAAAGAGGGGCAAAACCACCCAATGAAACTCCGTACAGCTCTCTGCCTAGACCGCAACCTCAGAATTGAACTAATGAGTTTTTTTCTAATTCCCTGTTAATCCAATGACAGCCTGGTGCACAAGGCATCCCGTGCTTGTGCACCCCGTGTTCACACAGGGGTGTGATAGGGTGTGATATAGACAGCATCCTCTAATGCAAGTATTAGTGGCTGAAGACAACTTTACTGTTGCTCCGAGGCTCCCCTTCTTATTTTCCAATTAATCCACATCATAGAAAAGATGTATCTATATTTTTATCTTTTCAGAAAATGGGGCTCAGATGAGCTATGATAAGGCAAAGAGAAGCCAGCTACGCCATGGCTGCAAAACACCAGTTGCAAATGAGATACAGAAATCTCAATCACAAGCCATAGCGGGTTGCCACGCCAAGATACGGGTTGGAACATCTCTATGCCCAAATCGGTTGGCCCAGATACAAGAAACATTATCATCACTGCCTCTTTATGTAACTTCCATCAGCAACACACACACACAAAGTAAACGCAGATTTCACTGGGGAAAAAATTACTTTTTTCGGGAATTTCACAATTTTTATGTCCAAACGTCCACTTAAATCCTGTCTGCTTCTGCTTTTGTCATATACAAGGGCTGTTGGTTTTTTATTGAAAATGGAGGAAAATCAATGGTGGAATAGGGAGGGGCAACCACCCTTCTAATGAAAATCCCAATACTCTCTGTTTTGCCTCATTTCTTTCTGGGCAAACCTTTTTGCATTTTTAGGGGAAACTCTCAAGGGTTTTTCACCTACGAATTTCAAAATTTAACTAAGTTTGCACTTAAGAAAATAACCTTCCAATTGAGGCTCAGATCTGTAATATTGAAGACAAGACAAGAGACCGGAGACACCGCCATGGCTGCAAACACCGGTTGCAAGACGTCACCGTCCGGGTTGCCCCGCCAAGTTACAGGTCCGATTGTTTCTTGCCCTAATCAATTTGCTCAGAGACAGAAGAAAAAATCATCATCATAGCCTCATATTTTTGCTACAATTATTATTATTATTACTACTATTGATTCTCTTTTTGGGAGTAAGGATTTGGAGATACAGTAGAGGGGTCGTTTGGTCAGAGTATACTGCAGAAGCCAGAAGGGCATTTTTGGCAAAAATGAAATCATAGGAATTGTAGAGAGGAGCGGCTGCCCTTGAGCTTCACTCTACTCTCAGCAAACCTCATTCTTTGTCTCTGAGGTTTTAGTTTTCTGCTTTGAGTCAAACAGAACCATTTAAAGCATCGATAATCTTGTTTTGCCTTCTGGTGTGTGTTTATTCACAACTTGGTCCATGCTATAGTAGGCTTATCATGAATGTGTTATGATAAGGCAAAGAGAAGTCAGCTACGCCATGGCTGCAAAACACCAGTTGCAAGTGAGAGACAGCACATGCCATACCGGGTTGCCACGCCAAGATACGGATTGGGTCATCTCTATGCCCAAATCAGTTAGCCCAGATACAAGCATCATCATGCTGCCTCTTTATGTAACTTCCATCAGCAAAATAAGCGCGCGCGCACACACACACACACACAAAGTAAATACAGATTTCACCGGGAAATCTTTTTACTTTTTCCGGAATTTTACAATTCTTATGTCCAAACGCTGTCTGCTTTTGTCATAAACAAGGGCTGTTGGTTTTTTTTGAAAAAGGAGGAAAATCATTGGCGGAACAGAGAGGGGCAACCACCCTTCAAATGAAAATCCCAATACTCTCTGTTTTGCCTCATTTCTTTCTGGCTAACCATTTTGCATTGGAAATTCTCGTGCCTTTTTCACCTGCGAATTTCAAAATTCAACGGAAAAGAGCCAATAAGTCTGCATTTAAGAAAATACCTTTCCAATTAAAGCTAAGATCTGTAATATTAAAGATAAGGCAAGAGATTGGAGACACCGCCATGGCTGCAAACACTGGTTGCAAGTCGTCACCGTCCGGGTCGCCCCGCCAAGATATGGGTCCGATTTTTCTCCTGCCCTAATCAATTTGCTCAGAGACAGAAGAAAAAATATCATCACAGCCTCAGATTTTTGCTACAATTATTATTATTATTACTACTATGGATTCTGTTTTTGGGAGTGAGGATTTGAAGATAGAGTAGAGAGGTTGTTTGGACATAGTTCACTGCAGAAGGGCAGTTTTGGCAAAAATGAAATCATAGGTATTGTAGAGAGGAGCAGCTGCCCTTTGAGCTTCCCTCTACTCTCTGCAACCCTCATTCTTTGTCTCTGAGATTTTAGTTTTCTGCTTTGCGTCAGAGAACCATTTAAAGAGTCAACAATTGTTATTTTGCCCAGTGACGTACAACTTGATTCCATGCTTAGTGAGCCCGGATCGAGGGTGAACATTTCATTAAGGCTGAAACTATCCTATTCGTGTGGTTTGAATTCATTTTTTATCTTTACTTGTTTCAATCTAATTCAATTTATTGCTTTGTGTCAAATTAATCCGCGTATCCTTAAAACCACTTACAAATTCAATTGTTATCCGATTTCGAGGGTAAACAGTTATAAAGAAGGGCTGTTTTTTCTGTTTTTATTTTAATGGAGGAAAATCAATGGCGGAACAGAGAGGGGCAACCACCCTATCGAATGAAAATCCCAAATCTCTCTGTTTTGCCTCATTTCTTTCTGAGCTAACCTTTTGCATTTTTAGGGGAAATTCTCGTGTGGGTTTTTCACCTGCGAATTTCAAAATTTAATGGAAAAGAGCTCATAAGTCTGCATTTAAGAAAATACCTTTCCAACTGAGGCTCAGACCTGTAATATTGAAGGCAGGGCAAGGCAAGAGATTGGAGACACCGCCATGGCTGCAAACACCGGTTGCAAGTCGTCACCGTTCGGGTCGTCCCGCCAAGATACGGGTCCGATTGTTCTCCTGCCCTAATCAATTTGCTCAGAGACAGAAGAAAAAATTATCATCACAGCCTCAGATTTTTGCTACAATTATTATTATTATTACTACTACTGATTATCTTTTTGGGAGTGAGGATTTGGAGATACAGTAGAGTGGTCGTTTGGACATAGTTTACTGCAGAAGGGCATTTACGGCAAAAATTAAATCATAGGTATTGTAGAGAGGAGCAGCTGCCCTTTGAGCTTCCCTCTACTTTCTGCAACCCTCATTTTTTGTCTCTGAGCTTTTAACTTCCTACTTCGCGTCAAAGAGAACCATTTAAAGCATCAACAATTCTTGTTTCGCCCACTGACGTACAACTTGATTCCATGCTTAGGAGCAAAAAGTAGTACAAATTCAAAGAAGAATAAGTTTTAGATTTTTCTATTTCACAGTACTTACGAGGCTCAGACCTGCAAAGAGAGATCGGGCAAAAGAGAGTCGACCGCGCCATGGCTGCAAAATCACCGGTTGCATCAAAGAAAAAGCCTCCAAATCGTCAGCTAACCGTCTGGTGATTTGCCAAGCCAAGTTACGGGTCAGATAGTCTCTATGCCCGACCCAGTTAGCCCAGAATCCGGATAAAATATCATCACTGCCTCAGTTGTTATGTATCAAAAAAGAGGAACTAAAATCACAGAATCAGAGACAGAGAAAGAGAGATCTGGTTGTTGTTGTTGATTGATGCTGAAGAAATGACTGTATAGTAGTACGTATTTCCAGGAAATTCAAGGGCTGTTAATTTTTTTTTAAGTGGAAAAAGGAAAATCATTGGCTAAACAGAGAGGGGCAACCACCCTTTGAATAAAAATCCCAAGCTCTTTGTTTTTGCCTCATTTTTTCTTTCTTGTCTGGGCTAACTTTTCTTTGCCGGAAATCCTTTGGTTTCACACAAAATGAATTTCCTTATGTGTCACTTTGTGGGCGTTTGGACATAAGAATTGTAAAATTCCAAAAAAAAGTGAAAAACACTTAGAAAATGGTATTTGTGTCAAATTAATCTGTGTATCCTTAAAATCAATTACAAATTCAATTGTTATCTGATTTCGATTGTATCATAAACAAGGGCTGTTTTTTCTGTGTTTTTTTTTTAATGGAGGAAAATCAATGGCGGGACAGAGAGGGGCAACCACCCTTCAAATTGAAAATCCCAATTCTCTCTGTTTTGCCTCATTTCTTTCTGGGCTAACCTTTTTGCATTTTTAGGGGAAATTCTCATGGGTTTTTCACCTGTGAATTTCAAAATTTAACGTAAAAGAGCTCATAAGTCTGCATTTAAGAAAATAACTTTCCAATTGAGGCTCAGATCCGTAATATTTGAAGATAGGGCAAGAGATTGGAGACACCGCCATGGCTGCAAACACCGGTTGCAAGTCATCACCGTCCAGGTCGCCTCGCCAAGATACGGGTCCGATTGGTCTCCTGCCCTAATCAATTTGCAGAGACAGAAGAAAAATTATCATCACAGCCTCAGAATTTTGCTAAAATTATTATTATTATTACTACTATTGATTCTCCTTTTGGGAGTGATGATTTGGAGATACAGTAGAGTGGTCGTTTGGACATAGTTTACTACAGAAGGGCATTTTTGGCAAAAATGAAATCATAGGTATTGTAGAGAGGAGCAGCTGCCCTTTGAGCTTCCCCTCTACTCTCCGCAACCCTCATTCACTGTCTCTTTCTGCTTTGTGTCAAAGAAAACTATTTAAAGCGTCAACAATTCTCGTTTTGCCCACAGACGTACAACTTGATTCCATGTTTAGGAGCAAAAAGCAGTTGAAATTCAAAGAAGAATAAGTTTTAGATTTTTCTATTTCACAGTAGTTACGAGGCTCAGATCTGCAAAGAGAGATCAGGCAAAAGAGAGGCGACCGCGCCATTGCTGCAAAATCACCGGTTGCATGCAAAGGAAAAACCTTCGGATCGCCGGCCGTCCGGTGATTCGCCAGGCCAAGATACGGGTCGGATAGTCTCTATGCCCGATCCAGTTAGCCCAGAATCCGGATTAAATATCATCACTGCCTCAATTGTTAATGTATCAAAAAAGAGGAACTAAAATCACAGAAATAGAGACAGAGAAAGAGAAATCTGGCTGTTGTTGATTGATGCTGAGGAAATGACTGTACCAGTAGTACGTATTTCCATTAATTCAAGGGCTATTGATTTCTTTTAAAGTTGAAAAAGGAAAATCATTGGCTAAACAGAGAGGGGCAACCACCCTTTGAATAAAAATCCCAAACTCTCTATTTTTGCCTCATTGTTTTTCTGGGCTAACTTTCTTTGGTGGGGGAAATCCTTTGGTTTTCACCAAATGAATTTCCACCTTTCACTTTATGTGTTCTCTTGTTATAAAAAATACACTCTTGCTTGGAAGAATCTAGAAGGAGTTAAGTGGCAATTTATTTATTTAGGATCGTTTGGTACGAGATATAAGAAGGTATAATGTTGGTATAAAAAATTAATACCACCTTAATAGTTTGTTTGGTTAGCAAATCTGATATAAGTTATTACGGAATTAAAATTAGTACCGGGATAACTTATACCTTGTAAAGGGTGGGGTAATTAGTGTCGGAATAACTTATACCTTCTTCTTAAAAATTACGCAATTGTTATAATACAACATGCCAAACAGTGAATAAAAAACAATAACAGGATAACTAATCCCAACATAATTTATCCCATCATAACTTATCGTCATAAGACGAGTATTCAAACCAAACGACCCCTTAAAGTGATTGCTTTGGTGTTTGGATCTTTGGATCAAATTTTAAGGTTATTGTCGGAAGACTTCGAAACAAAGAACAGAACGTGGAGACGTGGTCTCTTAATTCCCACCTTCCCAATAATATTCTTTTGATTTTTTTAAGGTAATTTTCAGATAGATTTTTTTTAATTGACATGTCCTTTTATTTTTTTCAATTTGTTAAAAGATGTTATAAATATTTACTTTACAAAATTGAGATAAAAAAAATAGGTTAAACGCAAAATCATAGTGCAGTGAAAGGATGCATTTACCCAAAACTGAAAGTTTAAAACTTGGGGACTGGCGTACGTGATGTATTATTTATATTTGTATTTTAATTCTAAAATGTGTATAATTGGTAATGTATGTGGGAAGAACTATAATTTTCTAAAACATTTTGGTCATAGTTTTTTTTTGGGTAAATAGCTTATCTATTTCATTCCAAAAAAACTTTACAGAACAGGTAGATGCAGACCATCTACATCCCTAATTACATAGCCAAAATCTGTAGACTAAGTGAATTCATCACTATATCTAAGTAACTAATCAAACTAACAGCTGATTGAACTAATACAATAGAACAAGAATACATCGAAAGAAATGTTACTTTCCAATGTTGTATTTCTTTCCAATGTTGATACCCATTGAGAGTTGTAAGAGCTCCTTGCCAATGTTGTATTTCTTGCCCTCTCGTGTATAAATGAAATATTACTTCTCAGCACACGTTGTTCACGTTTACTACACCCCCCTGGAATCGAACTTTGTTCCTTTCTCTCCATATGGTATAAACCATCATGCCAAAAACACAGGTAACAATTTCCCAGTGTCCACTCTTTTTTGTGGCATTATGACTTATCTATTCCACCTCACTTTGCCAATCTTGAATAGGTCTGCAATGTCCCGTCCATTTCAATAGCCTCGACCACATTTCATTTGTCACGGAACATTCAAAAAATAGATGATCGAAGGTTTCATCAGCTAGCTTACAGAGTATACACTGTTGAGGTATTTGAACACCAAACTTCAGCAGTCTATCCACTGTAGATAGTCTCCTTTGTAATGCTAACCATAGTATGAACTTAAATCTTGGATGCATTTTTGGTTGCAACACAATGCCTTTCCAGGGAACCTCTGGGAGTTGAGGGAATTGCAGTCGATACAGCTTTCTAATGCTGAAGGAATTGCCTTTTTGTAGCTGATCCAACCTGCTCATAAGATCACCTTGGACACCCTGAACATCCCCAATGAATTTCCTTGACTCCAAGATTTTCCTGACCACCCAAGCTGCATTCTTGGGTATTGGCATATGCTCTAACATGTGATGTTTTATATAGAATGTATGGATCCACTTGATCCATAAGCAATCTTTCTTTTTTGCCACTGCCCATAGGTGCTTTGCTACAACAGCTCTGTTCCAAAACACCAAATTCATCACATTTAAACCACCTACTCCTTGTGGTAAGCAAATTTTGTCCCAGGAGACCAAGACCTTTTTTGATACTGTTGATGAACCTGTCCACAGAAATGACCTGCAGATAGCTTCTACCATCTTCATCACCTTCTTTGGTAGTAAAAAAGTCTGTGCCCAGTATGACTGTATTCCAAATAGCACTGACTTGATCAGTTGCACTCGCCCTGCATAAGATAAGAGTCTTGCTGTCCAGCAATTGATCCTCTGTGTGATCTTCTCTACTAGAGGCCAGCATTGTATAACTGAAAGAAAAAAAATCCAAAAAAATCCCCAATAGCTGAAACTGGGACAGAGATTTAATTTCCTTTTTGAAAGAGTCGATTCCAAGAGTTGTAAGTCTACAACCCCCTTTACTTTGAGTATATTTTGAGCCTTCATGATGTCCTTTCTTTCCAACCCTATCCAAAATCCTTCCAAATAAAGACCTCCTGATATGCCTTCAAGAATGCCAAGAGAAGCATGCAATGAGCAACGGTTCTCATGCGACAAACACTGTCAAGTTGCTCACACAAGAAAGAAAAAGAAAAAGAAAAAAGAAAAGAAAAATGAGAGAGTCTTATTAGTGAAAACCCTCATGGGCACTGTAAGGAGACAACAAGCAGAGATGAATAAATGAGAGAGACGTGTTGGTGAAAATCCCTCGGGGCACCAATAGTCGAAAGTGAGTCACGAAGCTGATGCAAAGAATTGGTACGAACAAGCCCGACTTCAAAGGTCATAGGAATGGTAAAAGGAAAGATTGGATTAGTTTGATAGATCGGCCATTAAGACCAAAATGCATGTCATGATCATTAAGGTCAGTTATTGAAATAAAAATGAAAAAAAAAATCCTCCTTCTGTCCTTCCCGACAGGGGCATTTCTTGTTAATACTGTTTTTTTTAATCATTGTGCTCCTTCACTCTGATTCAGTCCTTGTCAAAACAAGCAAGAAATGATTTTAAAATCTGCTTCCAACTTTTCAGTTGCACAAAGTAAATTTGGCCAGCACACTTAGTTGTTACTGTCAACATGCCGTGAGGATTCATGCAAAGGTTTACCAAAAGACCCATGTCAGCCTACTTGGCTCAAGCAAAGATAACTGGTGATTCTCTCTGATAGACAAATTGCTCAAAAGCCGGAAGTCATTCAAGTTAGCAGAAAAGGTAACCTAAGCAAAGATCTCTAGTTGGGATAAGGCTGATTAAGCCCCAAATACAAATGGTACTGGGTGTGAAACAATCCGGGTTAATAGTTGATACAGAGCAAAAGTCTCTTGAAAGCAACAACAAAGTCTCCCATTAGTGCAGCCAATTGCCAATACAGTCGGTCTTCCAAAAGCCGGATGATCACAAAGCCAAGCTGCCTAAGACTCATGGCCACAAACCGACCACCACCTTTTAAAACTGATAAAATTTTGTTTGTTTGAAACAGGAACAAAGCAGTGCAAGGAAAGTGGTACAAAAAAAAAAAGAAAAAGAAAGAAAAAATAAAAAAAGAAGAAAAGAAGGAAAAAGAAAAGAAGAGAAGAGCCAACAAAGGGAAGTTTCTCAAATCTTTGCCTTTATTTGTCTTGCTAATGTGCATAAAATGTTGCCATTGCACTCACATTTTTTCCTCCAAGGATAAAAAGCCCTAGTATGATGGATTTTCGCCCAATAAAAATCTTAGTCTGATGAATTTTTCTTCTAAGATAGAAAACCTAGTCTGATGAATTTTCTCCTAGGATAGAAATCTTAGTATGATGAATCTTTCTCCTAAGATAACCAAAAAATGGACCTAGTCTGATGGATTTTCTCTTAGGATCAAAATCTTAGTATGATGAATCTTTCTCCTAAGATAAGAAAACCTAGTATGATGAATTTTCTCCTAGGATAAACGTCTTAGTCTGATGAATCTTTCTCCTAAGATAAGAAAACCTAGTCTGATGAATTTTCTCCTAGGATAAACGTCTTAGTCTGATGAATCTTTCTCCTAAGATAACAATAACCTAGCCTGATGAATTTTCTCCTAGGATACAAGAAATCTTAGTCTGATGAATCTTTCTCCTAGGATAAATGTCTTAGTCTGATGAATTTTTCTCCAAAGATAGAAGTTAGTTTGATGAACTTTCTCCTAGGAAGAAATCTTAGTCTGATGAATCTTTCTCCTAAGATACAAAAAAAACCTAGTCTGATGAATCTTTCTCCTAGGATTTAGTCTGATGAATTTTTCTCCTAAGATAGAAGACCTAGTCTGATGAACTTTTTCCTAGGATAGAAATCTTAGTATGATGAATCTTTCTCCTAAGATACAAAAAAAAAGAAAGAAAAGAAACCTAGTCTGATGAACTTTCTCCTAGGATCAAAATCTTAGTCTGATGAATCTTTCTCCTAAGATTAAAACCTAGTCTGATGAATTTCCTCCTAGGATAATAGGAAGTCTGGATTTTAAAAAAAGGGGGGTCAATTTTTAGTTTTCTTAGGTTACCAATCTTTAGTTTTCTTGAAATGAGGAGTCCCGCTTGGAGAATAGGGTCAATTTTTACTTTAGTCAAGCTTAGTTTATAGTTTTCCTCAAGCTCAATCTCAAATCTAGGAGACGCACTTCCTAGTTTGGGTTATTCAAGTTTCATCCCTAGGAGACGCACATCCTAGTCGAGTCTTTAATTATACTCTCATTATTGCATCCTTCATCAACAACGTAGGTGATTTATAGTTATGCTAACTGCTCACAAATCTTCCAAGTGCAAACTGGGGCAGAAAGGTTTCTTTTATTTTATCTGTTTTGCTGTAGTAGCAGGCGCCTACCTGGAGAACGAGGGAATTCATTTCAAGTTTCAAATCGGAAGTAGCACGAGTTGCCTGAAGAATAAGGTTTTTACCTCGAGGCACAGGGATTTGAGATGACCAAAGAAGAAGTCTCAATCCAAGAAAAAAAAAGGAAAAAAAGAGGGAAGTGAATCCAAATGCAGAAGCAGATGAAAGATGTGAATTGCTCAAGACATGGCTGAAGTCACGAGCACTGCATGTCCCGTCTTGATCCGAAGAAGCCGTGGAAGAATGAACTAACATCTGCAGCTAACAAGCATCAAGATTCAGATCAGAGTCCGCATGAAGAACCAACCAAGACTCAAGATCAAGCTTCAGAAGACTTATAGATAGGAATCTTGTAACTCGTA